ATCTTGGTAGGCAGCATAAAGTAGCTATTCGTTCTTCTTAATAGTTTTTCTAACATTTGCTATAATAAAACTATTCTGCATTAGTGAGGGAAAAACTGCAATCGTCTCCGTAAGATTTTTTGACTTTCGTTCCACACGACCTTGGAGCAGGTTCGCGCAGAGTAAACGCCTTCAGTCAACATCGTCATGGAACTGCAGCTTAACAATGGTCAACAGACTTCGCATCGCCGCCTTCCTTTGATTTTAATTTCTTGTCTTTTCAGTCTACTTTTCGCGATTACCTGAATAATTTGTGGCCTCGTAAATGAGCCCTGAGCTGTGAGAGCCTTTCTAAACGCTCACTAGTGAGAGCAGGCTTTGTCAGGGCTAATGGGAAATGAGAAATGTAATTGTAACAAGCTCGTTGGTTCTAGACTTGGATACTAATGAAGCCGATTTGTTTTATTAACATATATGCAGCGGTAAGGTCAGGTTCTTGCTTTTTTGAATGGGAGCCAGCGAACGCAGGACGCCCTGAGACCGTACGGCATTACAACTGAGAGGAAAAGCCTGACAGAAGGATCAGGGTAGGCAGAAAAATAAAGAAATTAGCACGGGCAAAAAACTCCTCTGCCTGAGCGGAGTGAAAACTAGAATAAATTCTAAAAAATAGTCAGCCGTCACGCAATCCTACAAATATAAGGTCCCTGGGCCTAAAAAGGCTTTAAATGTAAGTTTTGAAGCTCACCTAAGTTATTGAACGGCGAGAGAATGTTGGTAACGGAAAATCGCGGTAATGACGATTTTTCAGTGATTTTCGGTGTTTCCTTCTCTACTTCACACTCCACATCCTCGTCAGAGTCGCCGTCTACGACTGAGATTTTTTCGTCGTCCTCTCGGCTTCGATCCGATGTCTCTTTTGTCTTCTTCATTCTCCTGTAAAGCATACAATAGAATTAAATACTTAAAAAGGACCCATCATCAAGCAAGAGTCGTAGAAGCGCTCATTAAAAGCTGAGCAAAACTTTGCAGGAGTTAAAACATCGGGCAAAGAGAAACACTGTGGAAATCAAATTTTTAATGAGTTCCCTTACCCACCTTTTGAATTGCACTGATTTCCAAGTGCGATGGCATTCCAAGGGTAATGAAGGTCTCTTGCTATGTTCTTTTTATTTAGTTTCCGTGATACTTGTGTCACTTTTCATGTTGGAGGTTGCCTTGGTTTTTCGGACATGATAGCCAGTCCACTTGCTTCACTTTTTAAAGGTTCTGTCAATTTTACAGTACCCCTTTCATACCAGACGCCGTATCCAGGAGGAAGGAGACGAAAATCTCTCAAAATTTTCTCATTTTATGAATTGCTTTTCTCCTTTCAGGTTGAGGGAGAAAGAAGACATCTTCAACTCCTCCGGAGTAAAGGATGGCGTACAATTCCTGCTGGTTGACATAGGACGCTCCCCGACAAGATTCGTTAGAAGTTCTCCAACGGGGCCAGTGTGGGAATTCGTTGCATATATTATAATTATCTTCGATTTTTTTCTGTATGGAATTCATAGTTCTAGGGGAAGGTCGTTGTATATTAGAATGACACTAACGGTACCACTGGCAGTGAGGGGTAGCAGTGGAAAAAGTCGTATGGTTAGCTGCCTCCAGATGGTCGTAAAAATAAGAAATTGGCACAATGTGACGACGACGACCCTACCTATGTGGGCATGCCCACCTTTTTTTGTTGTTGAGTTTCTGCTTGACAACTATCCAAAATAAAGCTTCTGTCGAAAGTTGCCGACGTGGGCGGAGTTGGCGCCATTAATTGCTTTTTTCACGCGGATAGGCCTTCCAGTTGTGGATATTCTTAACTATGTGATGGAAATGGACAGTTGTGTGTGGAGAAAAAAGTCCGCCTAATTGGAAAGGGTTTATAGCTGATCCAAAACTCACAACCAAGAAATAAATCGTTTGTCTGGAAGGTGGTTGTCCCAATGAGGATGAAGATGGTCACCTCAAGGAGAACACGGCGGCGAGCTGGCACGCATGTCATGGGCATAGTAAAACAGCCCCAGCGTCTACAAAAACGGGTCGAAAGGGCAATGGTATCGAAAAAATAAGCCGTATACAAAATTTGAGTTGCTCTGAGTATAATGTTACAAAAAATGATGGTCTAGATAGCTACATTTGCAGTTTCCCAGCACCTTTTCTTGCTACTATAAAAAAGGATGGAGGAAAATTTTTTCCTATTCTGAAAGTTGTCAGAGCTAAATTTTTCACTATTCAATACGGATTAACATATCTCTGGCTAACTAAGAAATTCCCTCAGAAGGTGGTTTAAGGCTTTATCAAACGTGCTGCAGCCGAAATTTTTCTTACAGAATACACTGCGACGCATAATTATAGTTCCACCTACAATTTCAGTACCCGGCTGGATATCATTTTCTCACGATACGGCGCTTATCTCAGTCGGATAGTAATCAGGGTTCCTCCCAGTCATATCCTGTAGCATCCTTGAGAAATTTGTTCGTTATGAAGTCACCCCGACAAATTCCAGCGGAGCTGACACTTTGACAATTCCTGCGTCTCTTTTGCTAGGATTTCCTTTTACGGAAGTGTGACAGCGGTTTTGCCTTTGCTATAAGCTAAGGAACTTGAATGGTAAC